GGGGGGTTTGGGAGGCCGCATCGCACACAAACACCCACACACTCCCTCAACTTCCACGAACGCACACATACGCAGACTCCTTTCCACACGGACATGGACACACGCACAGAAACCCACACACTACCTCAACTCACTCGACTTAACACTTCTCACTACACACTTACCGGATAACTCGCACTCTGATTTCCTACGTGATGAAAAATGCTTTCGGGCCACTCGTCGTCTAGTTTTCGATGTTTTTTTGCAGGACCTACAGGTCACGCACATGGAACTGCATCACAGGATGCAACCAAGCTGTACATCACAGTGGCATCTCCCTCATCTGTACATGGGAGCAAACTGCAGCAAGCTGTTGATGGAAGAACTCTCCGGAAGATGGCCTCGTAGTGTATACAAAAATGTCAGACTGGGTAACCGCCCTTCCACAGGAGAAGTTCTGAGATCTTGCAAAATCCATCAGCACCGTTCGGCGAAAACGCTGGCCGTTTCTCCTTCCTTTCATTTCAAACGGCAGACCTAGGTATGACCTTCTGTCTCTCATTCTCAGTGTTCTCCACGTCGGTTCGATGCAGGATCTTGCAACTACACGCTTTCAGGTCTCCAAAAACAGCAACACCCGACCCCGACCCCCGCGCCAAACGAGCTCAGAAGATGTCGTCAATGAGCTCCGCCGCCAAAAACCCGCCCGCGAGTCCGGCTAAACCAGCGCCAGCCATGGCCATGCCATTGCCGCCGCCGCCTCCTGCGGTTGAAGGGACTTGGGGCCAACAGGTTTCGACCTGATGGTTTAAAAAGGGTTGAAAAGAGTGTTCAGTTAGCCGGGGGCGGATTTTGCAGGTGTTGAAGGGGACGACGGCTTCAATGATCATCAAATATCAGTGTCGACGGCTCCCAACCAATAGCATGGTATACGAATGGCAACACCATGATATCTTCTAAAGATGCTGCTGTGCTGTGCGGAGCTGAGTTCAAGGCTCCCTTCCTAAACATGGGAGCACATAAAACCACACGCAATATGTGCTTCTGCCAAGTGCGGGACAAGTACAGCTTTTATGGACTCCCTTTAGTCGTTTTTAGTACATAAGCAAGTGCTTGTTGCTTTTGCCATGAGAAGAACCATGGCCTTGCAGGACAAGAAAAAACATGGCCGCTGTGCAGCGCTGCGCAGCAAACCACACGCTGGTCTGGTTGTCCTTCACTCACCATAGTTGGAAGACCAATTCATTGGTTTCACTCAGTTGTAGTCTTGAACGATCCGCTGATTCAGGACACTGCTGGCCTTGTCCATACGCAGGCTGCCCATAGGCTGGTTGTCCATAGGCTGGCTGCCCATAGGCCGGCTGCCCATAAGCTGCTTGTCCATAGGCAGGTTGCCCATAGGGCTGGGCGTAGTGGTGGTGTCCTGTCAAGTAGCATCCATGCTACGTCGTCGACAAGCCCCGGCCAAGAAGTAACTGGATATGTCTGCATGTCCCCACCATTTGCATGCTGAAATGGGTGAAGTTGGCTGAACCCATGGTTGGCTGAATGAACCCATTTCAGTGAAGTTGGTGAAGTTGGTTGAACTTGGTGAAGTTGGCTGAACCCATGGTTTTCATGTTTCCAGCCCGTACCGGACCGCACCGGCACCGGACGAAGATTGAATCCGGAGGCGACCAGTCTGCTCGGCTCAGTGACGGGAAAATCAGGCACAAGCTTGGTAGCATCTCACGGCAAAATGAACAGAATCAACATGAATCAACTATGGAAGATGCATACTGCATACATGCATATCATTCATGTCTTGGCCGCGTTTCTGGAGTGTTGTGTTGTGACCCAGTAGGAGATGCTTTAAAGGAGGGGGTGATCCTCCCCAAGTCGCTCACCCAACTCCAGCTTTGAGCCCCACCTGCTTGGTAGCCATCACAGGGCGACGGCGTGCTGTACGGATACGCCGCGTAGCCGGGAGAGCCCCCCATCACTGGCTTTCCTTGCACCACTCCTGCGGGTCAGACGCGCAGCGTCGAGGGGGAAAGTGCGACACCTCCGGCGCCTGGGACGGTCCCACGGGGAAGAAGTGGCACCTCTGGACCAGCAGAGGTTGAAGAACCCTATAGACTATCCTATAGGTAGTCTAGTAGGGTCCTATAAGGTCACTTAACCTCTGTAGGGAAGCCCTGAAGTTCCGTTCGACCCAGAAAAATCCCTGAAAACTGCAATGGCACTGGACGATGGACGACCACCCAGTGGGCCTTTTCAGTTCCAACGAACCACCCCCTGGCAGTCATAGATGATGCCAGTCCCCTGAAGTGCTTAGACAAAAACGGTTGATCTACTACATGTTGATGTGTTGAAATGTGCCGTGTTGAAATCCTTCCAAGAAAGGTTGTATAAGTCACCTTAGAACTTATAGGACCCATCACCTGGGGTACCCAACTGGGATAGCCGAACTAGGGTTCTGACCCACCTCTGTTGGTTGGTAGAACCATATAAACAGCTGGTGGGGACCGGGCTTCAATCCATTCAATTCATGGTGGGCGAGGTCCCGGACTCCTAATTGGAACGAACGATCAAAGAACTGGAGGACGGCACTGATTGACAGTCCAGTAGGGTCCATTTGGGGAGCCCCCTCGAAGACATGGAAGACATGGACTTGGACTTCACCACCTAAGAAAAAAGCTGGTCTTTCCTTCAAAAGCGCCTATGTTCCAAATCCACGTCATCCCAACGGACGAATTTAGACGATGTCAGGCCCGACTGACACATCTATTCCGGAGGCGTCACTCAGGGGTCAGTGTAGGCATCATCGCTTCCACCTATTAAAAACCCACGGGGCCCCCGCCTAATTTCAAGAACTCGGGCGTGTTATTTCTTAAATATGGGGTCCCCAAAAGGGGGGTACCCTCAAAGATGGAAACCTGAGAAGAGCTTCAAAACCGAAAGCGTCGCCCTAGGACTGTTTTTACTATATACCATCCCGGTATTGAACGCACCAATTAAAAAAATTGCGTTTTCTCAACCTCCAGATCGCAAGGGTCGGTCCTTTTCTAATCCTTTTCCCTTTGGACCAACCATCCTTCATGGAAAGAACCCTGTGGATTTTTCCACGAACACCACGACGAAAGCTCGACCGTGCCGCAATGCGACGCACACGTGTCTTGCTGGTCGGTTTCAACACACGCGGCGTGTGGTGGACCAACAGGGTGTGATAGAGGGTGGACAGAAAGGGGGTTGCTTTAGGAACCTAGTAGAAAGAACTTCACCCAAAAGCGAACATGTTGGTAGTTTAGTGGCTTTAAAGGGTGGTAATTTAAAAACAAATGTAAACCATATTTGTGGGTTTCCGACATGGTGTTTTTTTAATTTGGGTAGTGTGTTGTTCTTTTTTAATAGGTACTCGGGATGATATTCCATGCATGGAGTATCTGGGGTTGGTGGTTTTGTCCCTCTTGGACAAAGCCGTTGGTCTAAGCCATTCACGAACGTGTCAGAGCTGCAGAGGAACGATGCGCAAGTCGTTGGGTCGCGGACCGGCCAACGACATCGCCCCTGTTGTGTTCGGAAGTCTGCGGTCTCCTCCAGGAACATAGCCATTGGATTGATTCTGATAGCCGTGGCCCTGACTGTAGGGGCCCTGGTGATGGTGAGCGTTGCCACCATAGGGCGCCTGGTAGGAAGAAGCACCAAGAACGACCGCGTGGGCAGGTGAGAATGATGGTGGGACACGCATTAGCTTGTGTTCCCTAACTGGCTCCAAGACGCTGCTTGGATGGTCCAAACATGTTGAACAACCTGCTGAGGACATCTATGTTCTTCCTATGAATTCCTAGCGGCCTAGCTGCGTGACGGTCTCCGCGCTAGGCTGCTAGAAAGCCAAGGCACATAAGGAGGACGAGAACTCTCACAGCAGCCCATGTTGATCAAAGAAAAATCGGAATTCAGACAAGCGGAAGTTTGCTCGCTTGATACTTGCAACTGAGGGTCTCGTGGATCAGAAAAGGGCCAATCGAGCTGAAGGCCATGCAGCCGCCCAACGATCCCAACTCATGGAGAAGGTGGGGAATGTGGAGAAGCACCACCAGACATTCATGTTCATCTCTCCAAGACATTCGTGTGAGGTTCCAAATCCCCCAAATCAGAGCATCAGTGGTGTTGGAAATCCCATCACCCAGAACCACACGGGTGTTCATGGGTTCCGTGGCAAACACGGCCAGATCTACCCATGGGATGACAGTCATCCCACGTCACTCCGTTTTTTGTTCAACAAAAAGTGTCCTGACAACTTCGCACTCCTTAACTCCTTGACCTATAGCAAGATAGACTTCCATCCATCTTCACCCTTGAAAAAGCCCTCCGGTCTTTTTCTCCAGAATCGTCTGTACACAGCAGGCGATGCGGTAGCCACCCAACCAGAGTTCAATGAGATCGTTCAGCAGTTCTGGGCCCGTTTTCCTTGGTAAAACCATCTCGGGACCTGTGAGGAGAGGCTCTCTGAAACATCCAATGACAAGGTTCCAAGATGGTCTTCTTTGCACTTTTGTTGCCTGCAAAGCTGTTTTTCGCCTGGAACAACCTGATCGAGTTTATCTTCATCAGACAGCCTCTGTGGTTTCAAGGAAAGTACCCATCCAGCTGTTGTCATCTTAGTTGGGGCCACCCTGCCACTATAAAGCCTGAGTCTCTACAATCTGTATCAGAGGAACTCAATTCTTCCGCCACGGTTTGGCACGACTAAAAACATGTGCACCATCTTTACGCGGCAAGTCATGCCAGCGACTCGTCGCTTGCGACTCGCGTGTGTCTACTAGGGCCGCTGCCTCGAAAAAGCACTGCACAAGGTTCGCTCGAGGGCGGTCCATTTCGCAGGACGCTCAGCGGCTTCGAGAAGCTTGGAAAGTGTTTCTTTGCCATCATGCCTGCCGGGGCCAAGAAAACGAAATAAAATCCCCGTACGAATTCATGGGGTGCCGTTGTGTCAGGCATTGTGTAGCAAAAACAGTTTACAAAATGGAAATTACTTGACCATTGACATCATGTTGTACAGAGCTTCATTAAGCTCTGGAAAAAATGTTCACTATACAACATGAATGGCATCAACCTCAAGAAAAAATGCCTTCTACATAGACAATCAAATAGACAAAATCATTCTGTACCTGTGGTCCTGTTCCAGGATCCGCTACAAAACTCGCGGCATCGACATCGTAAGCCCCTCATGGGCCCAATGTCCCAGGTTAGTGACAAATCCGAAAATGAGTGGCCTCGACCCTCATTGCGTCACACAGTGAGTTGGGCATGATCCTCTGATTTCAAGTATATGCACTACAGAATGACCCCCCATTTCAAGTATCCTCAAGGCCGTGCATTTGGGAGAGGTTATTCGCACGGGGTTTTTCAAAAAACATCCAAAGTGAGAGGGGCATCGACACTCGATGTTTCTATGGAAACGCAGAGGTGAAATTAACTATTATGGATTAATTCCGAAAAAGCACCAACAACGCAAAATCTCCCCACCAACTAACTTCTATATCATCACCGCAAGCAAATCTATCTCCAGAACCGCAGAACGCGTTAAAAACTACCGCCCAAAAGGTCTTCAGACCCCAGAAAAAAAAAATACGCTCGTCGCTCGTCTCGACCACGCGATGATCCGCCACGCCACGCGATGAGCCGCGCCGGGAACCGCCGTCTTCCAGCGGCTCACCTGGACGTCCGACGGCGCAGGGGCTCCCGGACCGGTTCGGGGCGATCCAGGTTCTTCGGGCCATGCGGAGGCCGACCAGAACGAAGGAATGAGGAGGAAGGTCTTAGGTCTTAGAGACTGACCAAAGCCTTTCCCCTAAAGAAACGAAGGTCGACGTGGGTCTGGTTTTGGATAGAGAATGCTCCAAATTGGTGGGGCCTTTTCCGAGAGTGAGACGCGATTCGGCCTTTCGGCTGCCTCCACTCCGGAACGCTTCCAAATCCCAAAATCACACCAGCTCTATGGGACCAAAACCGCTAGAAGCCTCTACAAAGCGTTCAAGCCAAAGGGGCTCGCCAAGGCGTCGGTGTTCTTTAAGGGGTTGGGTTGGGACAGCTTTCACAAGAAGGAGCCCCCTCCCAAAGTCCACCCCTTTGACCCGCGGAGCAGAGCAGACATGACTGGCGCGGGTGGTTGGGTGGTTCGACCGTCCGGAGCAGCCTCCGCGGTTCAAGAAACCTCAGCCCAGCCGCACCTGGCAGCCCTTCACCTCACAACACGCCCAAAACACACCGCCTTCGAGCCATACCCCAGACCTCCGCCGCTTCGGCCACAAACGAGCCGAGCCACAGGCCCCGCAGCTCGGAGAAGCCCCAGACGCCCAGCTCGGGCGATGCAAGGTGCGCGGCGCGGGCTCCGGAGCTCAGCGGGCCTGGCGCACGCCCCGCGCGCGCCCCGCGCGGCGGAGGAAGGGAGTGGTGCCCCAAGGGCTGTGAGGTGCCCCGGTCTGCGAAGTGGCCAAAAACCCTCAAAGCTTTAAAGACCGGAACTGCGAAAGGCCGGAAGTCGTGGATAAGATGCGACATAGGATGTCACATAGGATGCCCAAAAGGGCAGTTCGATTGATCTAGGAACTCCTAAGGGTGTTTCACAGTCCACAGCTCACATCAGTCACCTCTCGGTCTCGCTTCGCATCGCTTCGCTGTGACATCGCCTGTGGGATCCAACCAGCCCACATCGTAGTCCAGTCGGTGGGCAGTTGGTGGCAGCCGACCTCAGACCGGAGCAGGTTGATATTGTATTTGTTTACATCTATCTATTGAGTCTATCCTATTCCCAGTAACAGTGGATGATGATGGTTGCTAAAGGCCTTTCTTCAAAATAATGATCTGCTTGTTTACGGGTCCTGTTACAGGTCAGTTCGGACGGAACCATATATATAATATCATATAATAACATGTAAGAGAAACCTCCAGAAGTTGTCCAGTGGTTTTACGATCCTTGGGCACCACCAAGAAGCCATGAACATCACCCACTGGTTACTTCGCATTCTGTCCTTCAATCGTCAGACCTGGACTCATCAGGAAAGAGATGCCCTGATGCTCTATGCGTGAGATGGGAGGCTTGATTCGGCTTGATGGCATTGCCCCTGTCCGTCCAGTTCAGCCGTAGGTCAGGGGTCGGACATGACTAGGATCATCTTCGGTGAGTCATCTTTGGGGTCATGAAAATGGCTCAACAGCCCAAAGCCAGCCATCTACCTGCCAGATCTCTCCCGAATCCCATCATCCCTACCAGAGGCATCTGGACTTTGGTGACTCATGTCCTTTGGTTCAGTGGGCCTTGTAGGGATGATGTCCTTGTCCTTCCCCAAAACATCCATGCTCGGCCGGAGGACCAGTTTGACCAAATCAAGTTGGACCAATGCTCGGAGGCGCTTGGAGACATGAAAGAAATGACATCCCCTAGGGCTCCTGGCCCACCTCCTGAGGTTGGGTGGTTGGGGTGGGTGCCAGGGGGATCTAACCAGTGAACCTGAGGAGATGGTTGGAGCCCTAGGGATCATGTATTCCATATGGTTGTGGGTTCATGGCACTTGGGTACCCTGCTTGACCCCAGCGCAAAGGAACAGATCCCTTGGTTCAAAGGGATGTCAACCTCCCATGAGGCAGGTGGGGCAGGTGGGGTGCCATGACTCACAATCAACACAAACGCATAGTGCTTGAACATCTGCAACTCCAGCTTCAAACTGGAAGAAGGGCAAAGCCTGGTAATGGACAGTCAGTGCAGGCAAACCACGTAACCACTTCAATCAGCCACTTACTTGCTTCAAGTGCGTCCACTCGTCCAAGAAGGGACCGAATACAAAGGGACTAGGGAACCGAGTGCCGTTCTCACGATCTTTCCATACGTCTTCCCGGGAACGGATTCCTGGCCCCGACCATGGGATGTCACGCCAAAAGGGAAGAATCTGCTGCTTCCAGCAGTCAGAAGAACGGTAAGGGGTGCACTCCATGGAGCTTCGGAAGTGCAACCTTATCCACATTCACTCACTGGATGGGACGAGCCACAGGAACCCCATCACTCTAGTGACCCCTGGTTTCAAAAGTCCAGTCGCGATGGCTGCCGCCTTGGCCTTCAGCCTTTCCCAGCGGCACCTGCGAGGAACTTCACGCACGTCGCAGGCGAGCGAGGGTCTGAAGTCGGGAATCTGCCTGAGGAACTTCTGAGGAACTATGCCATGGTTCCATGCCTCTAATCGAAAAAAGACCATCATGTATCGGGATCTATATATATATATGTATATATATATATATACCAGCTTCTTCAAAGTGACCTTTTGAAGGTTTCTAAGTGACCCTACTCGGAGGCTTAAGTGACCTCAAACCAGGTTATCAAGTTTGGTCACTTTGAAGAACCAGGTGATCTTCTTCAGCTTTCATCCATCGCGATCTCCGGTCGTCTTTAGGTCAACCTGGCCAGTGGTAGACAGCCTTCCAAACGCTCCCAGCCTCTAAACCCCCCAGAAAAACGGGAAAAAAAGGTAGACAAGGAGAGCAATGGTTCCCCCCATGTGTCTTGGGAATTTGCAGGGGTCCTGCAGTCCTAGTAGGTCCTAGGGTCCCGTTTCCGAAGGTTCTCGCAGGAAAAAAAAACGGTGCGATTCCCACGTGGATGAGGGCCTCTGTACCCCCAGGTGACTCCAGGCCATCAAACCAGCGTTCTTTAGATCAACCTGCCTTTGACAGCTACGAAATACAGTGAAACCGGGTTCCACCCCTTCCTCCCCGATGAAAATGCAGCCCGTAACTCCATCTCTCACCTTGACCCCAATCCCAGATCGAGGCACATAGGGCACGTGAGAACTTTCCCAGCAACCCATCTCTGTGACCCAAATGCCAGCAGCCGCACGTGCACGGGCACGTGGTCTTGGCGCGGAGAGACCGCGGTCTCACGCCGTTCGTTTTTCGGGGTCGGCGCGTGTTGAGCCACACTGCCCGGCAGTCTCACTCGTAAACATTTCAGCCCAAAGTCCATGAACTATGATGCTGTTCAGGCATGAGAGGCCCTGCTTCAAAAATTAACCATGCAAAAATGTGCCTTGCTAGTGTGTTGCTACGTTGAGAACTGGCTTACTATGTTCAGAACCGCCATGTTTTTGACACTGAGCTGATACCCGCATTTTCCAGATTTTTTTACATGTTCTTTCTTACACCCGGGAAGATTAAGATGGAAGCTGACAATGCACCTTTGGAAGACTAGCAAACCAGTGGTGTTCAGGCTCTATGTGGGTCTCTTCCAGGGTGTCATATTTTTTCGATGGTGGACCCACAGGCGTCGAAGGTGGACCTTTTCCGCTGAACCCACGCGGTTGAGGTGAAAACAGCACGTGGATGGGAGAAATCATGGGGTTTAGGTTTAGGGTGTAAACCCTATGGTTTGTTCAACTCCTCCAAACAACCCTATACTCCCCACAGTTTTTTGTTGACACAGGTCTCCCTCTGCATGTTCATGCGGCGGGAAAAAAAAATAAAAAAACGCGTC